TTTACTATGGACTGCGGTCCACAATGTACTGTAGTCCAGGTATCAAAATGATGTCATTTCTTTTAATAAAAAGAAACGTCATCCGTTTTGCGCCGTTCCACGCAATCCCACAAAAATTAACTCTGTTTCTATGACATATTTAGTTTCATTTTATATACACTGCAGTTTCATTTCAACACAACTACAATTTCATTTCGATATAACTATAGTTTCATTCGACGTTATATACTAAAATATGTGAATTTGTTATCCAGTTTCATTTTATATACATTATAGTTTCATTACAACACAACAACATTATCATTTCAATATAACTATAGTTCATTAGACAATATACACTCAAATATGTGAAATTGTTATTCAGTTTCATTTTATATACACTGCAGTTTCATTTCAACACAACTACAGTTTCATTTTGATATAACTACAGTTTCATTCGACATTATTATACATCAAATATGTGAAACTGTTATTCAGTTACATTTTATATACACTATAGTTTCATTACAACACAACTATAGTATAATTTCGATATAACTACAGTTTCACTGGACAATATACACTCAAATATGTGAAACAGTTATTCAGTTTCATTTTATATACACTGCAGTTTCATTTCAATACAACTACGATTTCATTTTAATTCAATTACAGTTTCATTTGATAATATAAAAAAATGTGAGGCAGTTTCATTTTAGATACATTATAATTTCATTTTATAATTAACACACAAAAATACGAGTTCCGTTAAATTGTAACGATAATCGTTTCTTTACTTAAAAAAATAGCGTTGTTTTTTGAACCACGGCACACGATATATATAATTGCTTGGTTTACCGGGCAAATTATGCCCTGGAAACGTGTTCACCATGAATGGTGAACACGGGTCCAAACATCACCGTTTTTACGTTAAAAAAAAAAATCGCTAATGTGATGTTAACGGCACGCGTTTGGTCAGATTATGAATTTGATGTTATGAGATTATGAATTTATTGTAAATTCATAATCTCATAACAGAAAATTCATAATCTCATAACAGAAAATTCATAATTTATGAATGTTGAAGAAGCTTGCGCTACAGAGGAGCAGTCATGGTTTCGGACGGGAATGTGTAGGCATGGTTCCAAAGTGAATGTGCAGGCATGGATTCATAATTTATGAATGTCTGAAATCATTGCTCACCTCAAATTAAAGTGAAATCGCGAAATGTGAAAATGAAGAAGAAAAGTCACGCGTTAATTAAGGAAAAAAAAAAGAAGAAAGAAAAATAACGGTGTACTAACACCGCAAATTATGCCATGGAATCGTGTTCACCGAGAATGGTGAACACAAGGCAAAACGACGTCATTTTTAGGCAAAAAAAAAAAAAAAATTCGCGGATGTGGAATTAACGGCGCGCGTTTGATCAAATTATGAATTTTCTGTTATGAGATTATGAATTTTATGAAAATTCATAATCTCATAACGGAAAATTCATAATCGCATAACAGAAAATTCATAATCTCACAACTGAAAATTCATAATCTCATAACAGAAAATTCATAATCTTATAACAGAAAATTCAGAATCTCATGGTTCCAAAGTGAATGTGTAGGCATGGTTCCAAAGTGAATGTGCAGACATGGATTCATAATTTATGAATGTCCGTGATTTCGGACGGGAATATGTAGGCATGGTTTTAAAGTGAATGTGCAGGCATGAATTCATAATTTATGAATGTCCGAAATTATGAATGTAATGAAAATTCATAATCTCATAAGAGAAAGTTCATAATCGCATAACAGAAAATTCATAATCTCATAACTGAAAATTCATAATCTCATAACAGAAAATTCATAAACTTATAACAGAAAATTCATAATCTCATGGTTCCAAAGTGAATGTGTAGGCATGGTTCCAAAGTGAATGTGCAGGCATGGATTCATAATTTATGAACGTTCGTGATTTCGGACGGGAATGTGTAGGCATGGTTCCAAAGTGAATGTGCAGGCATGAATTCATAATTTATGAATGTCCGAAATATTTGTTCACCTCAAATTAAAGTGAAACCGCAAAATGTGAAAATAAAGAAGAAAAGTCACGCAATTAATTAAGAAAAAAAAAATAACGGTGTACTAACATTGTTGGAACTGTGTTCACCATGAATGGTGAACACGGTTCCATGGCATAACGTCTCGTACTAACACTGTTGGAACCGTGTCTATAGTGAACACAGTTCCATGGCATAACGATTGCATTAAGGATTAAATTAATTAATCTGCCAAAGTACGACTCAGAACATATTAAAATTAGCCCAAACTGCCATTAGGCTGACTGACCCAACTTGAGCCCAACCTGGTACCTTCCAGCCTTGCAGCGGTAAACCCAACCGTTATGCAGTGGATCCATGTCCACCTTGCAAGGTGGACACAATTCTATGTTCATAATTTTTGAACTATATGTTCATAATTATAAAATGATATATTCATAATTTTTGAACTTTATATTCATAATTATTGAACTCTATATTCACAATTATAGAATTTTATGTTCATAATTACTGAACTATATGTTCATAATTATTGAACTCTATATTCATAATTACAGAATTTTATGTTCATAATTACTGAACTATATGTTCATAATTATAAATCTATATATTCATAATTTTTAAACTTCATATTCACAATTATTGAATCTCTATATTCATAATTACAGGATTATATGTTCATAAGTATGTTTACAACTCTATGTTTATAATTATAGAACTGTATATTCATAATTTTTGAACTATATATTCATAATTATAAACAATTTGAGAACTGTGTCCACCTTGCAAGGTGGACACGGTTCCACATCATAATTTGCCATTAAAGTGTATGAGGCAGTGTACGGTGTAAATGGGAACCTCAGTTTTACAATAGTAACAGTACCAAAAATTTGATTATACTTATGTCAAGTCAATGCAAAGGTAAATTGTCGCACAATCAGTCCTTTTAGTGGAATTTGAACCCCCATAATATCGTCTTCCGTCATGACATCAAGTCACAAGCAACGAACCACTACCCTACTCACCTTAATTTCTATTCTTCTTTAATCTAGTAACACATTAAGGTTAACATTGATAAATACTAAAGTATTAGTTAAATATAGCTGTTAATCTGGATGATTATCGATTAGGAAATGCCTCTGCGATAGGTGTCATTTCATCCACCAAAATCGTTAGCTCTTTACATCTTCCTGTATCGAACATGCATGTTTACTATGCTTGATGTCTTGTTACTGAGGTTATATTATTAAGCACTAGAATGTTGGTTACACAAGTAGTCCCACATCAAACATGCATGTACTTTTCTTTTGCTATTTCCAAATTTTGGGATTGGTGGCTTATGAATGATGTTTTCCAACTTATATCTTTAATGCTATGTTATTCTATATATATATATATATATATATATATATATATATATATATATATATATATATATATATGCTCACAATTGTTTTTTTTTTTTTTTTAATTTGTTATTGGCTTAAGAGTTTTGTTGGTACCTTATTTGTTTATTGACTATGTGATTGCTCATATTATATGATAATATGGATTCAGAACTTAAATTAATAGTAGAACACTAAAAGTGCCCTGAGTGTTTAAGATAGAATGGATCAATTAAGGCATAGCTTAAATTAACTCGTTAAAAGAGATGTATTCTTTCTATCTATAATATGTACACCAAAAAATGTTAACCATATAGATTATTATAAATAAATGATTGTACCAAAGAGGCAAAGAGAAATGAGAATAATGGGGTGGTACGATATAATGCAAGATTACTATGCTTTGGTCAATGCTGATTTCTCAGTTTTCTCCTCTTCTTCTTCGTCTTGAGGAGAGTCTTGATTCGTGTATATGCTTCTTTAAGCACGAATCACGTTTCGAGCTCAGTCTACATTTGACTTTACACAAAAGATACTAAACACGAAAGAAAAAGAAACTAGGTTGAGGGGTCTAAATTCTTAGTGAGCTTGGTATCATCAAAATCTAAATACATATGTTCCTAACATATGTGTTGAAGTAGTAAACAATCGATTGAGTGATTTTCTCCTGAAGCATAAATATGTTAAATAATAATAGAAATAAGACCTAAATAGACCATTGAACTAGACAAAACAAATGTAATTGGACAATTGAATTGAAAAAAAAAATACAATTTTTTTTTTAACAAAAAAAAAAAGTTACCTTACTTAGTCACCAATTACTTTGCCTATGTAGTGCTAATTTAGATTATTTTATTTTTATAATTTTTTTAAAAAATTACAAATAGAAAAATCTTTGATCAATCTCTGATCAGAGAAGTCGATCTCCAGATTTATGGAAACAAAAAAGCTTCTTCGCCTCCTTGAATTTGGAGAAGAAGATTAATAGAGACAAACTTCATCTCTATTAATCTTCATCTTCATATTCATGGGGACAAAGATGCTTCTTTCCCTCCATGGATGATGGATCAAGGTTTCTATATTCATGGAGACGAAAAATCGATCATCTTTGCCCCAATGGATCTGGAGAGCATCCGTCTTTGATTGTAGACCTACTTTAATTCTCTAATTGGAGACTTGGTCGAAAGTAGTTTGCATTACGCTTTTATTTTGTTTTGTTTTGTTTTTTTTTTTTTAATTTTAAATTTTTTTTATGATAAAATGATTTAAATTAGAACCATGTAAGAGCGTTAACTTTGACTAAGCGAAATAACATGTTATTTGGTACATAATTGTATGATTTAAGTTGTTTGATGTGTTAATTGTAACTTTTTTTAGTTTGGTGGTTCATTACTTGCTTTTTTTGTCTAGTTCAATTATTATTTCTATTTATGTTTTGTCCTTGTATAATCTATTCCTATTGTATTCATGATATGAGAACGTACAACAATTCACGTGAAAAAGTTTCAGTTTAAAAAAAGAAAAATCAAGAACTTTTTTTTTTTTTTTTTGAAAGGAAAATCAAGAACTTTTTAAGAAAGAATTTTAATAATTATTTTGCCAACAAGCCGATCCACATGGTCAATTTGCTATAAATTGATTGTAGTTATACTTCTATTCCATCTTCAAATTCCAAATGGCCACCGGCTCTTCTTCTTACAAACCCCCTTACACTCCCCTGTCGGATCGAACCGAGTCCGCCGGAGCTCCGGAGAATCTCCGGCGATCCTTAAAGTTCTTCACCTGCACTCTCATCTCCTTACTCTGTGTAGTCTTATCCGTCCTTGTAGTCCTCAATCATTCATCAGAACTGGTCAAAGATGAAACTTCACAACAACCGTCTCCGTCGCTAAAGGCCGCCGGAGATGTTATCCCGTCGGTGGAGGAAGCCGCCGGCGATGGGGTTCCATATTCTTGGACTAATCGGATGCTGTCTTGGCAAAGAACAGCTTTCCATTTTCAACCTCCAAAGAGCTGGATGAATGGTAATTTACTACTTTAATTTAATTTATTTATTGTATTTTAAGAAATACCTTTCCCCGTTTTTGATTTTGATGAATGAAGTATTAATTTGAGTTTTTGTGTTTTAATATTATTTTCATGGCTGCTTTTGGGGGGCATAATCGGAATATAATGGATTTATTATGCTGCAGATCCTAATGGTATGGTACAATACAAACTCTCTACATTTTTATTTTTATTTTTTGAAAATACTCTCTACATAATTACTGTCTAATATCAATTATCATTGCTTAAGACTCTTAAATACTGCTGTTACTTTGTTTTAATTTTTTTTTTTTTTCGTAGGCCTTACTATTTAGTGGTTACTCCCACGGTCTAATTAAAAAAAAATGAATTTAGAAGGATATTTTAATTTAATGTAATCGTAAACTGATTAGTTCATACACAAATATATAGTAATTCAAGACTTGGTAAAAAAATTCTTTTTTTTTTTTTTTGTTTGTTTGTGTAAACCACTAGATATTCTGAGTCTTTTTATGTTCGTTTAACGGTCTAGGTCTAAACGGGCACAAAAGGAATCGTCTAAAGATGACAATTCTACACGCACCCTATGGGCTCCCCGCATCCCCGCCCCTACGAGTTTTAAAATACCGCACAATTTGAGTAATGAGTGCGGGTATGGGAAGAATTTTGTATACCCGCGTGGGTATGGGGCCGGGGCGGGTGCAGGGGAGGTATGCCTATTGATCTTTTTATTTGAACAACATGAGTGTCCTATTGATCTTTTTATTTGAACAAATAACCTAGGGTGTTTTATATGGAATTCAAGTTGTGAAAAGTAAGTTCACATGGATACACAAATAATGTGTGACAGGTCCACTATACCACAAAGGATGGTACCACCTTTTTTACCAATACAACCCTAGTTCAGCTGTTTGGGTGGAGAACATCACCTGGGGTCACGCAGTATCAAGGGACATGATTCACTGGCTCCATCTACCTTATGCCATGCTCCCTGATCAGCCCTACGATTTACGTGGCGTTTGGACTGGGTCTGCCACAACCCTCCCTGATGGCCAGATCATGATGGTCTACACTGGAAACACTGATGTGCAGGTACAAAATCTTGCTTACCCAGCCAATCTATCTGACCCGCTGCTCCTTAAATGGGTCAAGTATTCAGGCAACCCGGTTATCGTCCCCCCTCTCGGCGTTGATTTGTTGGAGTTTAGGGACCCGAGTTCAGCATGGGCGGGCCTAGAAAAAGGCCAGTGGTTTATTACTATAGGGTCACAGGTTAGGAAAACGGGCGTTGCATTTGTTTATGAAACTACCGACTTCAAAAGCTATAAGCTCTTGGATGGGTTCTTGCATTCAGTTCCAGGTACGGGTATGTGGGAGTGTGTGGACTTCTATCCGATTTTAGCTGATGAGGAAATCGGGTCAAATTCTTCAAATAAAGGGTCGGATGTCAAGCATGTTCTGAAAGCTAGTTTGTACGATGAAACACATGATTATTATGCTATTGGGACATATGACCCGATTAAAAACAAGTGGGTACCAGATTTTCCAGAATTGGATATCGGACATGGGTTGAGACTCGATTATGGGAAGTATTATGCATCAAAGACATTTTATGACCAAAACAAGAATAGAAGAGTTTTGCTGGCTTGGATTGGGGAGAGTGATCCGAAAGATGTTGACCTGGTGAAGGGCTGGGCATCACTACAGGTATTTAATTACATGAATTTTAATTTCATCAATTTGCTATTATTGCATTATTAAGATTAAGATTCCAGTAAATAAACCGAAATTTTACTATACAATGGTAAGACTATAACCTTATTACTTTTTCATTGACACTTGTATTGCTACAATTTAGGTATCTATTAAAAAATTCAAAAAATATTTTTTTAAAAATGACTTATTTTTCAAAAAAATATTTTCATTATTTGGTATTTGGTTAAAAGCAAAAAAAAAAAAAGAAAAAAATTTCTATTTTTGTTTGGCTCATTTTTCAATAAATGAACAAAAATCAACAACAAAGTTATTTTTTTTTAATAAAATACTAACTATTTTAATAATGGAAATAATAATCGTAATACATAAAAAATATAATAATTTATTTTAATTACATTATTGATTCTTTGCAAAAAAAAAAATTAATTAGTAAAATATTTTTTATATTATTATTTCAATAAAGATTGATTTATTATTTTTTAAAAGTTTAAACTTTCTGTTCTTGTACTCATATTATCATTTTATTCATATTAAGATAAATTTTTAAATAGGAGTAAAATTATATACTTAATTAATTATAAAGATTAACAATAATTATAAAAATGTATTTAAATAATTTTAAATTGTAATTGTAATTTATTATAATAAAAATAAATACAAAAGTTGATAAATCTAATGCCTTTGAAGTAAATAGATTTTAAACACTAAAAAAAAAAATTAAAACTTTAAAAAAAAAAATTGGACATAGGGTTGTTAGCAATTAAACAATTTTATTTTTTAAAAAAATTTTTGGAAATGAACAATTTTTTTTTTTTTAATGCAAAAACAAATATATAAACTTTTGGGCTTGAGCTAGGGCTGAACAAAGATTTGTATTGTTTGGTTAGGCCTGACTCAACCCAATTTTAACTAGGCCATTGCGGTCCAATCAAAATAATAAATGGACATATGTCGGGCTGGCTTGAGTTGGGAGGTTGAGTGCAAATTATTACGTGGAGCATAGTACATTTTTAATATACTAAAAGTATATTATTTGTATATTGAATTACATTATACATTATATAGAATAATGTACTTTTAGTATTTAAATAATATACTTTTTCTGAATACAAGATGTATTTTTAGTATACTAACAGTATATTATATTATTTGATAATATACAAAATAATGTACTTTTAGTACTCAAATAATATATTTTATACACACAAATAATATACTTTTTATTTATGATTCACACAACTGTGTGGACCATAGTCTAGGCAATAATGATTGGAGATTGAGAGTATAGTATGGGATAAAAATTAGAAAAATGGCTTTATAAAAAAAAGAGTTAATTTCAACAAATGTCTTTTGTGACAATTTCACGTTTAGTTTCAGACTATCATTTTTGTCTTAAAACACTACAAATTATTAAATTTTGGACACTTTAGGTCCTTCGAGTACCTTTATCGACGAAGTTCCATTTTAGGCAAGGGTAATTTGGTCTCATTTAAATCTTTTCTGATTTTCTTCATCTCTTTAACCATGTTCAATCCCAAATCCCTTTCGTAGTTTGTAAAATTCATATCACGATAGGGAACCCCATCCAAGTTCGTAAGGTTAACTTGGTAATCACTAAGATGCAAGTTCAACTCTCAACGGGAGCAGTCTATTAGCCTTCTTGATTTGAACCAATCAACTATGAATAACTTATGCTGGTTTATCTCCTTATGATTCTTTGCCTGCCCCATACATACCCTCAAATAATAGTTGTGAGTTTTCTTCGTTACTCAAAAAATTTCCTATCATGACACAAAATGGTATATATACCTGCAGGGCATTCCTAGGACACTGCATTTAGACAAGAAGACAGGAAGTCATCTGCTTCAGTGGCCAATTGAAGAAGTAAAGAGGTTGAGATCAGGCGACCCCATTGTCACAAAGGTCAATCTTCAACCAGGTGAAATCCTACCAATCCACATTCCAGCTGCTGCGCAGGTACACATCCATCTCATCTATCTCCCCTTTCTAAACCATGCATGCATGCACTTAATCTTGCCTCAAAAGGTTAAATTTCCAGCCACAAAGACCTCCAACACCCACTACTGGAAATTATAAAATTTCTGACCACCTGAAAGTGATCTTAAATCAAGTCAAAAGTTTTGTTCCGACCACTTTTAGTATCCGGAAAAACGTTTGTTGCTATTTCCGACCACTTTTTACTTTCAACTTGATTTAAGATCACTTTCAGGTGGATGGAAATTTCATAATTAAAATAGTGACCCTTACCGACAGATCAAGCATTTAAGAAGATGTAAATCACGGTACCTAAGTGTCTCAACAAACAAGAATCACTACTGGAAATTATGGAATTTCCGATCACCTGAAAGTGATTTTAAATCAAGTCGAAAGTCTTGTTCCGACCACTTTTGGTATCCGAAAAAACCTTTGTTGCTATTTCCGACCACTTTTTTCTTTCGACTTGATTTAAGATCACTTTCACTTGGTCAGAAATTCCATAATTTCCAGCAGTGAATCTATCAACTTTAGACATAATTCTCATACTGTACATCAATGTATGTCGAGTTTTGAACATTCGTCTTTTGTCTCAATTACTGTCCCTATTGAACCAGTGAGCTAAGCCCTAGTACGGGCCATACATGCACTTAATCAACATTAATGGGAGATTTCAAATCTACAGTTAGACATTATTGCCTCGTTTGAAGTGATGAATGAAGAGGCAGTCGAAGGTGAAGGCGATTTTAGGTACAACTGCAGTAGCAGTGGTGGTGCTGTTAAGAGAGGCGCTTTGGGGCCATTTGGTTTGGTAGTTGCAGCTGATGAAACACTTGCCGAGCTAACGCCTGTTTACTTCTATGTTCAAAAAGGTGGTGATGGGAAGGTAGAGACTCATTTCTGCACTGACTTGACAAGGTTTGCTTCTTAACTAAAGAGTACTACATGTATCACATAATACAGATCCCACATTTTAATTATTCGATTGGAAAAATGAAAAATGAAAAATAGGGATATGGTTAATTTTCTTGTTAATTGTAGAACTGTATATGTTTGTAATGAACATATATATATAAATGGTGCAGGTCATCAGAAGCATCTGGAGTTACGAAAGAAGTTTATGGTAGCACCGTACCTGTTATTGATGATGAAAAATATTCAGCAAGAATATTGGTATGTTTCTTTTCCTACCATTGATATTCTAATATGTTTCAATTTCCATGTAATTAATGTTAAGTTCTAGGATAATATATATAAATGGGACAAAATATTATAGTTATTAGCAAACATTATTCTGATCTATCTTGTGTTGATGAAATGAAATTAGGTTGACCATTCAATCGTGGAGAGTTTTGGTCAAGGAGGAAGAACAGTTATAACATCAAGAATATATCCAACCAAAGCAATATATGAAGCGGCAAGAGTCTTCTTGTTCAACAATGCCACAGGGACAAGTGTTAAAGCGTCTGTGAAGATATGGCAAATGAATTCAGCTGATATTAAGCCATTCCCATTTTGATCAATTCTTGAATTGTTTGCTTCCAATTCACTTTCTCATCTGCCTTAGCTATTATATGAATAATTGAAGCTTGTATATTAGACTCAATCTCACACTAACAAGTGGTATGCCAGATTCCATGCTTGATTTATGTGTATTCCAAGGGTGTGTTTGGTTACGTTCGAACATGGGAATTGGAATGATAATCAAATATTTAGTAATGGTATAAGTTTTGATGAAAATATTTTGTAAGTTTGGTAGGAGGGTGGAATTGGAATGATAATCAATATTGATGTTTGGTATGCAGAGACGGAACTAGAAATTCTGTTGAGGGGGGCGAAGAAGTAGTGACGGATTCAGAAAATTTTTTCAATAAAGGCGAAACATTAAAACAAAAGAGATAATTAAAAAAAAATAAACACATCTCATTATTAATATAAAAGAATGTTATATATGTGTGTGTTTATTAAATACTAAAAAACTATTAAAAACGTGACTATGTTGAAACCATAGGAAGGAGTCAAAAAAAATTATTGAAGCCAAAATTCAAACCCCTATCCTTTATCATAACTCAACATATGCTCAACCAACTCATCTAAATCAACTCTTGTTGACATTTAATAGTTTTATTTTACTAATACTAACACATGTACTATATATACATATATACATATATATACAAAAATTATATATAGGGTGGGGGTGGGGTGAGGGGGCAGCTGCCCTCCCTGCCCCCCTTTTGGCTCCGTCGACCATGTTGGTATGGAAATTTCATCCTAAAGATGTTCATTTAATAGGCAAAAATCTTAGTAAATTTATAAGTACACAAATAATCATAATATCGGGAGTGTAGAATGATCTGATCTAAATATTTTTGAAAAATGACAAAAATCTAGTGGATCTAGAAAATTTCATGATGAATAGGGACAAATTTATGATAAAAAATTATATAGTTGCTAACAACACATTTAACTATGTGATTGCTCATATTATATGATAGTAAATGATAATAGAACACCAAAAGTGCCCTGACTGTTTAAGATAGAAAGGGACAATTAAAGTATAGTTTAACTCGCTAAACGAGATGTATTCTATCTATAATACGTAAACCAAAGAATGTTAACCATATAAATTATTATAAATGAATGATTATATTGTACGAAATAGAAATGAGAATAATGAGGTGGTACGATATAAAGCGAAATTAATAGTTTAAAGATTTACACAGAAACTCATAATTGATTTTATTTAAATATACTCTAACATAATGAATATCATTAAGTTCCACTACTTAATATCATTAGTAAATAGTAAATTTACTAATGATATACAATTGATGAACATCATGACTATATATTTATTAGTCAATTGCTATATATAATATTGATAGTTGTTATACTACTATTCCATTTTCAAATTCCAAATGGCCAGCTCTTCTTCTTACAAACCTCCTTACACTCCCCTGTCGGATCGAACCGTGTCCGCCGGAGCTCCGGCAAATCACCGGCGATCCTTAAAGTTTGTGTCCTCCATCACTCTCCTCTCCTTACTTTGTGTAGTTTTATCCATCCTTGTAGTCCGCAATCATTCATCCTTTCCAAAATCTGAACTGCTCAAAGATGGAACTTCACAACAATCGTCTCCGCCCCTAAGGGCCGCCGGCGATGGGGTTTGGACTAATCGGATGTTGTCTTGGCAAAGAACAGCTTTCCATTTTCAACCCCCAAAAAGCTGGATGAATGGTAATTTACTACTTTTTTTTTTCTTTTTTTTTTTCCATTTTCCATTTTATGTGTCCAGTTCAATTAAAAATGTTTATTTGAAATTATTTACAATATTAAGTTTAATATTAGTATGTAAAATTTATATATTTAGAAATTATATTACATTAAAAGCATTAAATTTAAATAATATAAAAAATTAAATTTAAATATTATAAGAAAATGGTAATAGAAATAAATACTTAGCTTTTACCTTTTTGATTTTGATGAATGAAGTATTAATTTGAGTTTTTGTGTTTTAATATTATTTTCATGGCTGCTTTTGGGGGACATAATCGGAATATAATGGATTTATAATGCTGCAGATCCTAATGGTATGGTACACTACAAACTCTCTACATAATTACTATCTAATCTCAATATTCATTGCTTAAGATTCTTAAATACTGCTGTTACTTTGTTTTAATTCTTTAATTTTTTTTCGTAGGTCTTACTATTTAGTGTTTATTCTCTCGGTTTAATTTAAAAAAAAAAATAGAATGATAAGGTTAGGTAATTAGCTAGGTTGCTTTAGGTCTACGTGATTAATATATGAATATTTAATAAAATAATAATACTAATATTATTATTATTATTAATTATTAAAGCATAGAAGTTTGTAAACTAAAAATTAATTATTAGTATTTATATTAGTAACTAAAAACGTTCAAAAAATATTTGGAGTGAATTCCATTTTTGGTCCTACTGTTATAGGGGCGTTTCTAATTTTAGTCCACTTTAATTTTTTTTGCCACTTTATAACCATTATTATTGAATGTGTTCCACTTTTAGTCCCACCGTTAGTATTTTCATTAAGAGGCCGTGTAATCTAGGGGTATTTTGACATTTCTTCTCATCCAAGACTATGTTTGACTAAAGAAATGAGAACATTAAACCTAAAACCTAAAACCTAAAACCTAAGAAACCTCACCGGCTCATGTTGGAACGAACGAAACGATGTAGCTTTGGCTTCCCATTCTCGTTGTTCGAAGAGCCATCTTCGAATATCGGAGGAGGAGGACGAAGCGCCTGGATTAAAAGAGAAGAGGCAAACATAAAAAGACCAAAATACCCTTTGATTATACGGCCTCTTGACGGTGGATTAAAAGTGGAACACATTCAATAACAGTGGTTGTAAAGTGACAAAAAAAATTAAAATGGACTGAAATTGAAAACGCCCCTATAACAGTAGGACCAAAAATGGAATTCACTCAAATATTTGTAACTAAAACTAGTAATTGATTTAATATAACAATAATATTTTTCTTAACATCGATATAGTTTGTAAAAATTAGAAATTAAGTTTACTGTACTATTGTACAATATAAAAATAGAAAATATTTTTGCACCCAATATATGTATCAATATTGATATTGATCATTAATTTTAAACATAATCAATTAGTATAATAAATATCATATGTTAATATTTATTTTAAAACAATAATATAAAATATCACTGCTCTAATTAATTAATAAAATAAGACAGTATAATATTTGATTTATAAATTTTCGTATAGAAACATTTCCTTTATTAAATTATAATTACCTGATTTACTATTAGAATAATACTCAATGGTAGTTACAGCATTTGTTATCTAGATTTTATATTATTTTATTTTTCTTCTTGTACAAGTTGCGATATAGATTTGTCTTATACGGAGTTGAATACTAGGTATAAAGATGACTAGATGAGAGTCATTGATTATTAGTTTTAATTTGGACACTGATTAATTAAATAGCACCATTAGAAATGTGGAAATGATTACTATTTTTTTTATAGTATTATTCCTAATTAAATAACTTATCTTGCTCCTTAGGCCAGGTTACGTTGGATCTAATTATTCATGACTTAATGTATCCCATCTTATCTACCTCTAGGGTTAATTTTGTAAAACTATACGCAACCTAACATCAAGGCGAATCTAGAAATTTTGTTTAGGAGGGACAAAAAATAAAAATATTTATAGTAAAATATGATAATGGTTGAAATAAATTTTATCATTTCTATTAATATGATATTCATAAATAATTTTTATTTTAATTAAATCAACTCTAATTAAGTAATTCTAGAATAATTTAAATATGATGTCACACATTTGAAATTTGTAGATTACATTGACTATATAGTTCATAAATAATAATTTAAAAAAATATTTTTTATAATTGAATTACAAAACATATTTTATATCAGTTAATATACAATTAGAATTATGAATGAATCTCACAAATCACAAATTTAATTCTAATGAGAAGATTTTATATATATATATTCGAAGTGCGTTAAATAAATATAAAATTAAAATGTAAACATATATTCAAGGTGTATTAGCGGTTGCAACAAATAGTAGGCGTAGTCAATAAATTATATTATATTATATTATTATTTTATTTACTTTTACTAAAATATATATTACACGCGCGCGCACACACGCACATATAATGGGATAACTGTCCCCATTGCCCCTCTATAGATCCGCCCTTAAGACCGAAGTTAGAGAATGACTATGAGAGTAAATAGAGATGTTAGGGTAGTGAGTGACTTAAAACACAACATCTAAAATTAAAAATGTACTATCAAGAGACAATCTAGTTGAGTTGGTAAGAATGTTAGTTTGGTAACAATAATGTTTCAAGTTCAAATCACAATAGAAGTATCCTATTAAAACCTTTTATGTTTGAACCAATTAGCTATGGATAACTAGAGTGATTTACCTAGAATTCAAGTTGCGAAAAGTAAGTTCATATAGATACATAAATAATGTATGTGTGACAGGTCCACTATACCACAAAGGATGGTACCACCTTTTTTACCAATACAACCCTAGTTCAGCTGTTTGGATGGAGAACATGACTTGGGGTCACGCAGTATCAAGGGACATGATTCGTTGGCTCCATCTACCTTATGCCATGCTCCCTGATCAACCCTATGATCTACGTGGCGTTTTTACCGGGTCTGCCACAACCCTCCCTGATGGCCAGATCATGATGCTCTACACTGGAAATACTAATGTGCAGGTACAAAATCTTGCATACCCAGCCAATCTATCTGACCCGCTCCTCCTTAAATGGATTAAGTATTCGGGCAACCCGGTTATCGTCCCCCCTCCCGGCATTGGTTTGATGGAGTTTAGGGACCCAAGTTCAGCATGGGCAGGCCTAGAAAATGGGCAGTGGTTTATTAGTATAGGGGCACAGGTTGGGAAAACAGGCGTTGCATTTGTTTATGAAACTACCGACTTCAAGAGCTATAAGCTCTTGGATGGGTTCTTGCATTCAGTTCCGGGTACAGGTATGTGGGAGTGTGTGGACTTCTATCCGATTTTAACTGGTGATGAAATTGGGTCAGATTCTTCAAATAAAGGGTTGGATGTCAAGCATGTGTTAAAAGTTAGTTTGTACGATGAAGGACATGATTATTATGCTATTGGGACATATGACCCGATTAAAAACAAGTGGGTACCAGATTTTCCAGAATTGGATATCGGACATGGTTTGAGATTCGATTATGGGAACTATTATGCATCAAAGGCATTTTATGACCAAAACAAGAATAGAAGAATTTTGCTGGCTTGGATTGCGGAAAGTGATCCTCAAGATGTTGACCTGTTGAAGGGTTGGGCATCACTACAGGTATTTGACTACATGAATTTTAATTGCATTAAGATTCCAATAAATAAACCGAAATTTTACTATACCAATGGTAAGACAATAACTTAGATAATAATTGCAAGTTTAGGGATCTATTTAAATTGCTACAATTTAGGGATATATTTAAAAATTCAAAAAATACTTTTTAAAAAATGACTTATTTTCAAAAATTATTTTAATTATTTAGTGTTTAGTTAAAAGTTAAAAAGAAAAAAGTTATCTATTTTCGTTTGCCTCATTTTTCAACAAATAAACAAAAACCTATAAGAAAGTTATTTTTTTAATAAAATACTAACTTTTTTTTTAATAATGGTAATAATAATTGTAATACCATGATAAAAAATATAATAATTTATTTTAATTACATTATTGATTCTTTGCTAAAAAATTTCAAATTTTTAAAAATTTGTAAAATATTTTTTTTATATTATTATTTCAATAATGATTGATTAGTGTTTTTTGAAAGTTTAAACTTTCTGTTTTTGTACTTATATGATCATTTTATTCATATTAAGATAAATTTATAAATAGGAGTAAAATTAAATACTTAACTAATTATAAAAAATATACTCCGGGGTATAACAATAATTATAAAGATTAACAAAACCATCCCAAATCCCTATGGTATTTTGTAAAATTCATGTCATGATGGTTGCAACCCCATGACCCCCATCCAAGGTGGTAAATTAAAGTTGTTAACTTCGTAACTATTAGAATGTAAGTTTGACTCCCAATTGGAGCAGCTTATTGATCTTCTTGATTTGAGCCAGTCAGTTATGTAATTGTCAATTTTCCTTGTCATTCAGAAAAATTCATATCATTTTACTGGCTAGGACCCTTGAATAATATCTGCCAATTTTCATCGCCACAACCTTATAATATATGATATGATAGAACACTCCTTATATATAGTTGGTGAATATATAACCTGCAGGGCATTCCTAGGACACTGCATCTTGACAAGAAGACAGGAAGTCATCTGCTTCAGTGGCCAATTGAAGAAGTAGAGAGCTTGAGATCAGGTGACCCCATTGTCACACACCTCAATCTTCAACCAGGTCAAATCCTACCAATCCACATTCCAGCTGCTTCGCAGGTACACACTTCCATCTATCTCCCCTTTCTAAACCATGCATGCATTTAATCTTGCCTCAAAAAGTTAATTCCCAATCTCAAAGATCCCCAACACCCCGATCCGTCGATCAGGCATGAACCTAAGTGGCTCAGCAAACAGGGATCTGTCAACTTTAAACATAATTCCCATACTGTACATCACTGCCGAATTTTAAACATTGGTGTCTTGTCTCAAATACTGCCCCTACTGAACGAACCAGTGAGTTAAGCCTGTACTGGCACATGCACTTAATCAACATTAATGGGAGATTTCAAATGTACAGTTAGACATTAGTGCCTGGTTTGAAGTGGATGAAGAGGCACTTGAAGGTGAAGGTGAAGGTGATTTTAGGTACAACTGCAGTAGCAGTGGCGGTGCTGTTAAGAGAGGCGCTTTGGGGCCATTTGGTTTGGTAGTTGGAGCTGATGAAACACTTGCCGAGCTAACGCCTATTTACTTCTATGTTCAAAAGGGTGGTGATGGGAAGGCAAAGGCTCATTTCTGCACCGACTTGACTAGGTTTGCTTCTTAATTAAAGAGTATTATATATACAGATCCCACAATTTAATTATTCGATTGGAAAATTGAAAAATGAAAAATAGGGATATGGTTAATTTTCTAATATTTTCTTGTTAATTCTAGAAGTGTTTGTAATGAACATATATATATAAATGGTGCAGGTCATCAGAAGCATCTGGAGTTACGAAAGAAGTTTATGGTAATAGCGTACCTGTTATTGATGATGAAAAATATTCAGCAAGAATATTGGTATGCTTCTTTTCCTACCATTGATATTCTAATATGTTTCAATTTCCATGTAATTAATGTTAAGTTCTAGGATATAATATATATATATATATATATATATATATATATATATATATATATATATATATATATATATAAATGGGACAAAATATTACACTTATAACAAACATTATTTTGATCTATCTTGTGTTCATGAAATTAAAATTAGGTTGACCATTCAATCGTGGAGAGTTTTGGCCAAGGAGGAAGAACAGTTATAACATCAAGAATATATCCAACCAAAGCAATATATGAAGCGGCAAGAGTTTTCTTGTTCAATAATGCCACAGGCACAAGTGTTAAAGCGTCTGTGAAGATATGGCAAATGAATTCAGCTGACATTAAGCCATTCCCATTTTGATCAATTCTTGAATTGTTTGCTTCCAATTCACTTTCTCAATTGTCATCTGCCTTAGCTTTTATATGAATAATTGGATCGGAGCTTGTATATTATATTAGACTAGATCTCACACTAACAAGTGGCCTGGTATGCCAGCCTCCATGCTTGATTTATGTGTATTCTAAGGTTTTGTTTTATTTTATTTTATTTTTAGGGTGTGTTTAGTTCTAACATGGGAATTGGAATCAAATACTAGGTAATTAATGGTATGGGTTAGTATTTTGCATGTTTGGTAGTAGTGCGGAATTGGAATGATTATTAATATTGATGTTTGGTTATGTATGACCCTATAATTGGAATAAAGGTTTTAAAAATACAAGAATAAAAAAAAATCAAGACAATTGATCCTAATATAATTAGGGGTGAGCAAACCGTTGATCGGTTACATAACCGACCGAAAAATAGATCATGGTTTTTGACCCTCGTAGCTAACCGAAACCGACCGAGGTTTTCGACGGTTTTGGTCGGTTACCAAAAAGCCGCCCTCAAACAAAATAAACAAAGACTTGAAGTAAATTAAACACTTAACCCATGATACATTAATACATACTGTTTACTGCCAATTCCCAAAATCAAATCCAAAATATCAAATGATACATGATACTAGCACAGTGCCAGTGCCATTGTGCCAATGCCCAAACACCAAAGGCACAAAGACACAAACAGATACAGTCCAAGACCAAGTCACCAACAAGGCAATAATCAACAAATATTAATATACCAATACAAACTGGTTTACTACCAAGTATAAACAAAGTAATAAAATCATTTCAAAGTGATGAACAATTAAACATTTAGTATATTTTCAAAGTGACCGGCGTGGTGTACTTGCGGCATCCAGGCGGTCCAGCGACAACAGCGAGGCTGAGCAGCCTGAGGCCCTGAGCACTGAAGATATGTGAGACTATGAGAGTGTGAGACTGTGGGTGGAACCGTGGAAGGACGGGAAGCCAAGGGTGGAACCGTGGAAGATTGAAGACGACTTACGAGTTACGGCTAGACGAGTGTGGTCTGTGGAGCCTGTGGTGTTAGGATCGATATGGTTCACAACTTAGACTGGGAATAATGAGAATATTTCTAGTGTAAGATTTAAAATAAATCATATACACAATAAAGGCAATTTGGAGAAGAATTTTCTGTATTGTCAAAATGATATTACAATAGGAATTAAAAATATAACTTTCTATTTTGCTATGCTAATGAGATGATTCCATGATGGAATGAATTTACAAAGAAGAGGGGTTGTCTATTTATAGCAAACCCACATGCCTAGATTTGCAAAAATAATTCTTCAAGCTCAAACCTTGGCTCTTAGTCCAAGTATTTGCTCTTGCTCAAGCTTAAGCTTAGGCATTTCCCTTGCTCATTCTTAAGCTTAAGCAATTCTCCTTGCTCAATCTCCTTGTTCAATCTTAAGAAATCCTCCAAACCTCATCCCAAAGGTTCTGCTCATTTTCACATTTGACTTTAATATTTACATGTGAAAGTCGTGGTCGTATCGCTCTCGTGGAGACTGGAGAAGATGAGAAGCGCGGAAGGCCGACGTGGAGCCGGAGAAGGTCACTCGTCCTCGTCTAGACTATAGAGGAACAGAACGACATAACTTAGAAGGATTAGGAATTTAGGGGCATTTGGCGATTAGGATTTAGGGATTTTACATTTTAGGAATAAGTTAATAAAGTTATTTAGTTCTTAATGTATGAGCTTAATGGCATTTGGGCTTCTAAGCTTTGGGCTAGCAGTATAATTGTATGTATGTATTAATATAATCGAAAAACCGAAAATTCGAAAATTTTTTAAGGTTAATAACCATTATCGACCGATAACCGATTTTTTCGATCGGTTAGCGATTAACCGATATTTTGATCACCCCTAAATATAATGGCATCCAAAACAATAATACGAATAACAAAATCAAAATAAAAATCTAAAAATACTAATTCAAACTTAAAAATTATATTACCAATAAGATGGAATTATACATTTTTTAATTAAAGAATGAGGTTTTAATTGAAGGAATAATCTAATCTCATAGTTATATTTTAAAAAATTGACAACCAAACACTAACTATGATTTTGATTTCCATTCCTAATATGTAAACCCATAAATCAAACACACCCTTAATTCTTCCTGGGATTCTTACGGGACTTTGTGGATTGTAGATTTGCATCGCCTTATGTTTTTTTATTTTTATCTTTTAAAATTAATTTATTATTATTATTTTCCTGTTTCAGGAGTTTTCTTCTTATAAGTGCGGGTGATGTTTTGAAAAAGAGCTAATTTCATGGGATGTTTCTTTGCTTTGGTGGTAATTTTAAATTTAATCTCAGATTATTGTTTTTGCTATTTAATATTTCAAATTATTAATTTTTAGATACTTTTAGTCCTTCTTATGATTTTTTCTATTTTTAGTAAGGACATATTTTTTTTTTTATATTTTTCTTTTGTTAATTTTTCGGTTTCAACCGATTTAATTGAGTTAGAACTTTAAGTAACCTCTCATTTTTAGTAACCATATTTTTCAATCGATTTTTAGTAAAGTCCTAAACCTATTAGAATTATCAAGCAATTAATAGTTGGTGGTAGGGATGGCAATGGGTCGGGTGTGGGTCGGGGAGGGCTACATCCATCACCCGGCCCACCTTATATTTTCTCCACCCACCCCCACCTCCAACCCGCATCAGGTGGACTTTTTCAGAACCCACCCCCACCCCCACCGGGTGCGGGTGCCCACTACGGGTACCCACCACTTATCATCTTATTATGTTTTTTAAAAAATAATATTTAAATTATTTACACATAATAAAAAAATAAAATCCATTAGTGATACTAAAACATAAATAATTGAAATATTTAAATATAATAACTAAATTGTTAATTTTTTTAAAATAAAATTAGTAGTTTTGATATAAAAAATAGTAAAAAGATACACGAAGTTATATAAACTTTTATAAATAACTACATACTAGTACTTATTTTACTATTATATATATATACACACACATATGGTGGGTCGGGTGGGGTTCTAGGCGGGTCTTGTACATAGAACCCGAATCCAACCCGACCCACCGCAGGTTTGATTTTTTAAGACCCACCCCCGACCCACCACCCACCATCACCCAAAAAAACCCGATCCATGCGGGGTGGATTCGGGTGGATATCCACGGGTCGAATTGAAATTGCCATCCCTAGTTGGTGGAGATGCAGATCCTGGGCTGGCCTGAAAATAAGAAAACGTATACTTGAACCAGATAGAGTTCGGTGAACTAAAAGATAAATCATTCAACACAAAATCCAATCTGACCATTTAAGCCCAATTATTAGGCCTTCAACCTGTCTGCGATTGGATAGGCAAATTATACTGTGGACCGCGGTCCACAATACATTGTGGTTCAGGCATTAAATATGCATTGCAGTTTCATTTCAACACAATTACAGTATCAATTTGATATAATTACAGTTTCACTGGACAATATACACTCAAATATGTGAAATTGTTATTCAGTTTCATTTTGTATACAGTGTCGTTTCATTTCAACACAACTACAGTTTAATTTCAATTCAATTGCAGTTTCATTTGATAATATAATAAAAATAATATGTGAGACAGTGTCAGTTTAGATACGCTATAATGTCTGCCGTTTTGAACCATGGTCCACAGTATAATTGCTAGATTGGATACCACAATTGTTATATAATGGATCAGGGTCCACCTTGCATTGTGGGCCTTGGTCCAAAACAAAATTCAATCTGCAGTTAAAATATTATATACTTTTATTTAATAAATTATTTGCTTACTACAATTAATATATTATGTGGTTGTAGACTTGTAGTTAATTTAGAAAACGCTTCGTCTTCAAAACTTGTTAAACCTAATTCAGAAATGTTTTTTATTGTTATCATAAACTACTACTACTACACACAATTGTACCAGGTGGTGTGCAAGACTTTTCAACCAGAGTTAGCCTTGTCGTCTACGTTTAGCCAGATCATTAATGACTTTAGAAAAGCTTTAAGTTTCTTCAAGTAACCCAACTTCCAATTCGTGAAAAAGCTAAGACTGCGAATCAAGTTTTCTGTAACATAGTTTAGACATTTATTGTTGTGTCACGCTGTAAAAAAAAAGGGGCTTACCATTCCATCAAACTTTGTTGTAATCGTTTCAGTTTATGATGAATAAATTAGCATTTATTAAAAAAAAAAAAAGTATTTACATGATCGAGCATGAGAATCAAAGGCTAGCATCTCAATCATGAACAAGAATGAGACCAGGCTAGAGTGTCTAATAAAAGGCCTGCAACCAAAAGTATGCCAGTTTGGGGCAGGGGTCAGCTTATGTTTGAGGATATTTTAGATGAGATAATGTTGGTCGGAAGTGGCAATTCCAAGTAGCATATGTTTGTTGATGTTCCCAAATGGCAACGGCACAACTTGACAAGTCAGGCCAATCCTTGCCAGCTCTATAACTTTTTGGCATCTAAATACATACCCAAATTAGATACATACATATATGGATCTTCCAAATCAAGTTTCTGATATTGTAGGTAACCACATTGTATCTCTACTTTATATTTGATGAAATCATGCTTTAATTTTTAAGTTTTTTTCACCTGCTTGCACTTAGCTGACCCAATTAAGAAACAAATTGCTGATCTTATTAATTTTTTTTATACAAGAGGAAGTTTAGAATTCTCGACTTTTTTTAAAAGACGAAAATGCCAACCAAACTGGTTAAGTTAATTTCTTTCTTTTATAAATACACAAAAACAATTCCATCAAGGATCAATATGTACTACTGGAAATTATGGAATTTCCGACCACCTGAAAGTGATCATAAATCAAGTCGAAAGCCTTATTCCGACCACTTTGGTAACCTTTGTTGCTATTTCTGACCACTTTTTGCTTTCAATTTGATTTAAGATCACTTTCAGGTGGTCGGAAATTCCATAATTTTCAACAGTGATGTTCTATATTAAAATCTTAAAATTTCTCTAGAAAGTTATGCTAATTATAATCCTTAGCTAACA